AGAAACCCTATAAATGTAAGGAATGTGGGAAAGCCTTTATTCGTAGCAGTCATCTTACTCAACATCACAGAATTCATACTGGTGAGAAACCCTATGAATGTAAGGAATGTGGGAAGACCTTTAGCCGTCACTATCATCTTACTCAACATCACAGAATCCATACTGGTGAGAAACCCTACATATGTAACGAATGTGGGAATGCTTTTATTTGTAGTTATCAATTGACCTTACATCAAAGAATTCACACTGGTGAGATTCCATATGAATGTAAGGAATGTGGGAAGACCTTTAGTCGTCGGTATCATCTTACTCAACATTTTAGACTTCATACTGGCGAGAAACCTTATGGGTGTAAAGAATGTGGGAATGCCTTTCGCCTTCAAGCAGAACTTACTCGACATCACACAATTCATACTGGTGAGAAACCCTATAAATGTAAAGAATGTGGGAAGGCCTTTAGTGTTAATTCAGAACTTACTCGACATCACAGAATTCATACTGGTGAGAAACCCTATAAGTGTAAAGAATGTGGGAAAGCCTTTATTCGTAGTGATCAACTCACTTTACATCAGAGAAATCATATTCACGAGGAAACCCTATGCGTAATGTAAAGATAATATGATGGCCTTTAGAAAATTCCTTTTACAACAGCAGAGAATTCATAATTTAAGAAATGTTTTAATTCTTAGGGAACATGGCAATCCCTTTTGCTTCATGCTCATTATTGAACGGAAATGGCTTTATATGTTAATTTAAAGAATTGAAAAACTGTAGCATCACTCAATCCTGGTTAAACTAGCAGATTGATATTGGTGCAGTGCATGTCAAACCATCCAGGACCTTTTCTTCTGCAAACTGTCGTTGAACCTTGCTTCTATAAAATGCAGTGGTATTGGATTACCAGAAAAATGAAATGGAAAGAAAAACACACACACAAAATAAAAGCCCCAATTTCTTATTATTGAATTTAACTGACATAAATTAGCTCTCAAACTGCTGTAAAATTTCGAAATACTTGCTCTCAGCATCTGTATCTTAACTCATTGCAGACCAAAAGCAAACAATTTGTGGACCAGTGTCAGCACATGGACCACACTTTATATAGCACTGTAACAGAAAAATGATTCTGTTAATACAATGAATGTGGGAGAAACTAGAGCCATAGTACATCTTTGCTGTAATTCTCATAATTCCACCTCTGCCGGTGTGGTTTTGGCAAAGCCTTTCTCTTTGCCTTGTTTTTAAAATGGTAATAATGGCACCTTTCTAATAGTATTTTTGTGATGAAATGCTAATAAAAAATAAAATCTTTAGAAGAGTATTTGGCACACAGCATGTGCTCAATAAATATGATTTTTATCACTAGCGATACTGTTAGTAAATTCATGTGAAAGGAAGACCTTGTGGATGTAAGGAGTTTGTAAAAAACATTCATTACCTTTCACTCCTTACTTAAATTTGGATAATTAAGTGTAGATAAAGTCTAATGAAGTACAGTAAACTTCCACTTCTAAATCAGAATTCATCTCTGAAAATTAATGTGAGAAAGAATTCTCTATATTTGATGAGTGTGAAGATTGTGAGAGCTTTTGAAGAATTACAGAGAGCTGTAATGCTTTTTCTTTTCATAATCCAAAAAGTAGATCTGTCACAGTCTACTTTTTCTGTCCACAATTCATTGTAAGTTAGAAACTAACAACCAAAAGACCACTGTCCATTTAGAAGAGTTAGAAGAATAGTACAATGAACATTGCTATGTTCTCTCTGATTCAGCAATTGTTAATATACATTCTCATATTTGGTTTGCTTCTACATAAGATATACATATTTTTACTGTCATATTTGAGTATAAATTGTAGACACCATGGCATGTTACCTCTCCTAATGATAAAGGCTGCCTTCTACTTAGTTACCATATAGCTTCACGCCTAAGGAGATTAACAATAATTCCATAATCTGTAATATTCAGTCCATTTTTTCTCAATTATGTGAAGAATGATTGTCACGGGTTATTTTTAAAATTCAGGGACTAAAATAAGTTCATGAATTGCATTTGGTTATGCATTGTTAGTTTCTTTTTTAAAAAAGAACAGCCCTACCCATCTCCCACACCTACCCCTGGCAACTTTCTTCCACCATTGACTTTTTAAGAGTTTAGGATAGTTGTAGAATGTCACATTCTGGATTTTTGTCATTGTTTTTCCAAAGTGTTTTTAAATGTGCACCTTTATCCCCAGTTTTTTCCCATGAACTGGAAGTTAGGAGTAGAGAGCCAATTAAGTGTCCGTTAAATATTTTGGCAAGATTACTTAATAGGAGATATTTTGTATTTCAATTTCTAACCCATTAGGTGGCATACAATGTCTTATTATACCACTATGTTATCCTACATTCATTGACTTGGTGTAGCAGAATGTGCTTTCCAAAGATGACCATACCGATATATCCCATTCTACACATTCACCTTGCAATGTAATATTGACCCTCCCTCATCAAGATGTAAGGATCATAGTCCTTCCTTTTGAATCTGGGCAGACAGGCCTGTGTTTATGGCAGGAGTGACACTATGTGATTTCCAAGACTGAGTCACAAAAAGCAATACATCTTCTGCCTGATCCACTTGGGATGCTTACCCTTGAAGCCCAGCCACCATGCTATGAAGATGTCAAGTAACCACAGAGAAAAGCTAGGTAAAGTTGTCCTGACTACAGCCCTAGTTTAGTTCCTAGGTATCAGCCAGCTTTCAAGCACTGGGTGTGTGAGTGTGTGAGCATTCAGATGATTCTAACCCTTAGCCTCACAGCATCCCAGCTGGTGCCCAGTGGAGCAGAGACAAGCCTTCCCCCATGAGCCTGCCCAAATTGCAGATTCATGAGTAAAATAAGTATTGTCTTTAGGCCACTAAATTTGGGAGCAGTTTGTTACACAGCAATAGACACCTGAAATACTTCATTCATATGGTAATCAACAGGTTTCTCTGTTGAAAAGTTAAATATTTCTTTCAAGACAGACATAATATATCATTGTATAAGTCATTTACTATCTAATAGGTTATATCATTGCCCAACATTTGCAAATCAATTTTCTATATGACAATAATTAGGTGAAACAAAAAGCAGAGTATTTGGGGACATAAAATAAAGCAAAATACTGTTGATGTATCAGTTCCTTAACCCAACATATCTGCAAGAATGTCTCTGGGAACAGTAGTACTTAATGGTACTTGAAACATTATGTGGTCACACAGGCTTATGAAGTTCTGAATACTAATTCCCTTTCTAAAAAATAAATGCTTATTATCAGGTTATCAAAAGACTTAAAAGTCTTAAATAAAGAAAATTTGCTTAACTTTGTTTATCCCAGTGTATGATAAACTTTACTAAGGAAGTCTCATTCAGAATATTTAATATCTTTGGGATGTGAATCCACACTGGAAATATTGCTATAACCAAAAAGGAGTGACCATAATAATGGAATATTCAGATACAATGGCAAATGCTTAGGTATGTTGGGGAAGGAAATGTATGGTGTATTTCTCTGCTGGTCATATCTTATTGATGAGTATTTATTTTAATAACTTTTCACTATTTCAAATATTTCAATAAATATCCTTGTCTGTGATCATTGCTTTACATAAACTGAAATGTCTGTAATTGTATATACATGTAAATACAATTAATTGCTCATACATTATATACTTTCAGTTACGTTAGATATTACTAAATTAATCATAGGTTATATATACTTCCAACACTACTAGATATTGCCAAATTGTTCTCTTAGACTCCTGTTAACTGATAAATTGAATATCCCTTTAGCCTTACTTTAGGTATGTCTTCATATGTATGTATATTTCTAATAAATTTTCAGTTGAGCATTTTCCAAACATTTCTTGGCCAATAATCATTTCTTTACTTTGACTCCTATTCTTGGCTTTCTCCAATATTTTTGTTCTGTTTTTTTTTTTAATTGACTTGAATGTCATTCTGGATATGTATGCTTACTATGTATGCTTACTGATGTCATGCTTACTATATTGATGCAAATTTTTTCCGTTACATTGAATAGAGTCTAAATGTTCATTCTATTTTTGTGAGATACTTTTAAGATTTATACATTATCAGTGATATAATCTGCAAATAAAATTTTATTTTCCAGTATTTATATTTATTACTTTATTTACTTTTCTTATTGCAATAGCTAGAATCTTCAAAACATAATTGGAGGCCGGGC